GAATATATACAGCTTTCTCTATAGAATTATTTTTGACAAAAATTTATGCAAAGTGAGTATTAATTGAGAAACTGTACAAATATGTAATAAGATGAAAAGTCGATCCTACAAAAAAAATGACCTCCTATGCTTTGTATGTTTTATTGCATTCGCACTCGTTACGTTATTCTTTAAAAACAATTAAGTTGAAAAAAGCCCTGAGCTATTTCTTTCTTTGATATATATATTTATTACATCTAAAATTGATGTGAAGAAAACACATAGTTGCAGCTTTTCAATAAATTAAAGATATCATAATATACATATATATATATATTTATATGTGTGTGTGTGTGTGTGTGTGTGTGTGTGTGTGTGTGTGTGTGTGTTGGTGTGTGTGTGTCACATATATAACTGATATTTTGTATCTAATTGTTTTTTAAATTTCTCAGAAATATAAAGAAGACAGAAACATAAATAAGATAACACAAGAATATCTCATAAAATGATTGATCTCCATTAAATTTTATTATATTTCTAAAGGATGCGGTGTAATTATCAAAATGTATGTTTATATAAACAATTTTTAATATTATATACAAGACAAGAGACCATTTATGTAAGAAAAATCCATTTTAAATATTCCACTAAAGAAATTTCGAAAGCAATGCATTTTTGAAAGAAGTATTTCAAATAAAAAATGTTTGATTTTAAAAACGTAAATAAAATTTGCAGAACTAAATAAAAAAACAGTCGCAGTTATTTGATCTTGATGAGTGATGATGTCGATCACATTTAAAAAATCATCTGAAATTTTTCAAATAGGAATCCTTAATATTTATGTATGTTTTTATCATAGATAACGTTTCCGAAACAATGATAAATATCAGCTTTTCGCGATCTTTCAATGGTCATTTAACCATCAAAAATTGCTTTTGAAATGCGTTTGGTGAATATTTAAAATATGAGTAATTGTATGTCTCTTTGTATTTCCTAATTTTTATCTTTCAATTTCAAAGATTTTAGTTACTCTTACGCAATCTATTGCGTGTGACGATTTTTGTAAAACTAATTAATTTTACATCTATTTTTTTTTAGATATTTTTACTTTTACAATATTTTTATATTTTTGAAATTTTACAATTAAGAGCTTATCGAAGAGCTTGGTGTGAAAACTAATCAGCTCCATTTTTGGCGAAAATGACGCTTGGATTTTAATGTAAATTTTAATGTAAATTTCAAACATTCCGCGTGTCTTTTGATATAAGACACAAAGAGTTCCGAACAAATCAAACATCACAAACAGTGATTTTTACATATATATTTCAACAGTAAAATATTTCACAGAATATACTTGGAAAAACAGTTTTTTTTATGTTAATATTGTAGTAGGTTAAAAAAGCTGATTGGTTTTTGCACCGAGCCCTTCAATTTTATATTTTTGCAAGTTCTTATGTTTACATCCTGATTCGACGTGAGCCCCGCGAAGTTTGCCGCGCGTAACAAATCGATGACGAACGAGATCGAACGGAGCCGAGCACTTTTTGCACTCGCAAGATTTTTCGGCTCACGTGACGATCCGCGTTTCGATTTGTGCCAATAAAATGCTTCGACCAAGCAAAAAGCGATCAATTTTCGTCGAGGCTCGGCATTGTGTTGCAACGGAATTGCAAAAACTCTTGAGGAAATACAGAATAATCTAAAATTTTAAATTCCATAAAGATTCACAGTTTTAATAAGATTATTTTAATTACATACGTAAGGATAACTCTGGTATACATACATATACGTCGCGCGAGGATTTACGCCGCAGAAATCAGAAAAAATAGAAGAAGTGAAAGTAATTTTCTCGCAATCACTCTGTTACATGCCTTTATGTTATATTAGTTGTATTGTGTTGTATTGTGTTGCAGTGATTTCAGTTTTTTATTGTTAATATTTATAAAATTATTGTGAGTTAAATTGATTTGTCACTGTAGTAAGTAGTGCAATTATATAAGTTATACGTAAAATGATTATTGTAGGAAATGTAAAAGGCTTTGTGGTTATTTCATGGTACATACGTGTAAGTGTAGAGAAATAGTAAAGAATGGAGTACAGTAAAATACAAGTGCTCTTATTGTTAGTATTAGCTCTTGTATTTTTTATTTAATTTATTGTCTCGTATAGCCCATCTGTTTGGGATGTACGGCATTTTTAGCGCGTGAGATTTATGCCGTAATAACAGATGCTCTATTATTAATTAATAAATAATTAAATAAATAATAATACGTGATAATACACCTTTTATAATATATTAATCATAATATATGTATAATATATGTACTTATTCATAATTTGATTATGTACGCTTTTTATTTATTTATTATTAATAAGTAAATGCAAATTACGTTGTCAATTCACGTGTTATTTATTATTATTATTTAGATTATTAGTATATTTTTTTAATCATCCCCCCCGCGGGTAGCTGTATAATCCCTTCCCCCCCCCCCTCTATTATATGGGATATACGGCGAAAATGCAAGGTTTTAAAGAAATTTTTTTAAATATAAAAAATAAATATTTCAGATTCCTAATATTTTTTTAATAGTAGTAGACAGTATGACAGCATTTTTACTGGTATAGTTCATTTATCTTAAACACAATAAATAATATATTTGATAAATTAAGTTTTTAATAGATGCGACGTACCTGCTATATACCGAAGTTACCTTATCTGGGTTACATATGTTAATTACATACGTTATATCCAGTTTTCAAAATGAGAATGAAGTTAAAAATTTGAAAACTTTAATTATATTTATGAAAATATGACAATTTAAAATCATAAAAATAGGCTCTTTTAAGATTGCGAATTCTAGATTCTAAAATTTCTAGATTCTGAAAATTTATCTATTCGAAATTTTCAAATACACGATATTAAAAAATTCGATCCTGCGATATCAAACCTTTCGAGTGGCTAGAATGAAATTACGAGCAACGATTTTTCACGCGTCTAACATGATGTATGTATAAAGTATAATATACGTGGAGAAAACCCTTCGGGACTAGCTTAAGGGGCCTCATTCTCTTTCGCGTCTCGACTCTCGCTCGTGTAATGAAGGGTCTGTCGTTCACGTATCTCGGAGGTGTGACCCTGCGCGGCTTTTTTACGCCACACGATTTCATGCTAAACTCGCCAGCCTGGTGGATGATGCGTTATTTATAAGAATGTAAAATCTTGGATTGTATCAACATATAAGAGAGATATGTTTGTGATATAAAAATATTCAAGTATTGAATATATACGGTATAAATTATACAGTAAATAAATAATAAATAAACGACAAATAAATGACAAATTAACATTTAAAATGGATAAAAATATATTTTATTGTTCTTTTAGATGTACACACTTACGCACTTACATATATAGAGTAACATAGAGTGGTCTAAAGCGACTGTCCACTACGATTTTCTTGACAATGATTGAAAATAAAAAAGAATAAATTATAAATACGATTACTATATTCTTTATACATTTATTAGACACTGAAGCGCTTTGATAAATAGAAAACCTTTCTCATTTATTTTACCTTATTTTTTAATCGTCTA